TCACAATTTTTTTTTCTGTTTGAGGTCCATGTAGCAGTTGAACTTGTGGTTTATCTCTCTTTGTTTTCCTGCAGAGGCAGTTCTTTTCAATCTAATTTTACTGCATCTCATGGTATCTCCACCTTGTTTCCCCCTCAGGCTCCTGAGCCTCTCAGTTCTCTGAAAGCGATGGCTGAGAGAGCAGCACTGGGTTCAGGCCTGGATGGAGAGATTCCTAACCTGCACCTGACAGACAGAGGTCGGAATGGTCAGGCATCATTTCTACACTGATTTACCCCAAAGATATTATCTTCCACACTATGAATATCACATGTACACTTGCCTGTTAGAGTGAAGTGTATTAACTCCAAAGCAACTTGTTACATCTTAAGCAGTAAATGATGCAGAAAGTGTTACAAGCATAGTAAATAGGGTTGAATTAGTAGTATGAGGTGGTTCTGCAGTCTATGTTTGTGTAAGTGACATTGTTTTTCTTCATCATGTAGACATCTTCTCTGGTTCGTCTGCGGCGCCTGGCACGCCTGCTGCACCTCAGCCATCCGTGTCGGAAGTCAGCATTCCCCCGTCACTCGGAGTCTGTCCACTGGGCCCCACCCCTCTCCCCAAAGACCAGCTGTACCAGCAGGCCATGCAGGAGTCCGCCTGGACACACATGCCACATCCCTCAGACTCTGAGAGGATCAGGTAAAGTTATCTCTGTTTTTACATGATGCACATTAGATGTTTTTATGACTTAAAACAAATACACAGGAATCTGACTCATTGATAGGCCTTTGACTTCTTCACAAGAATTTCACAAATTCACTTTAATCATTTTTTAATTATAATACATCGATTATTAATATATTCTTAAAGGTCCAGTGTGTAAGATTTAGGTGAAAGGGAACTATTGGCAGAAATTTTATGTAGAATAATCCTCATGATGTTTTCACTAGTTAATTTCATCTAAATTGTATCAATTGTAGTTTTCTTTACCCCAGAAAAGGCCGTTTGTATTCAAATACTTTATATGTACATCGAGGGGACCCTCTCTATGGAGGCCACCATGTTTTTTACATTAGTCCAGACTGGACAAACTAACACCTTTTGAGTTTTTATGACAATTAAAGGCTACCACAGTTTCTTTTTCATGTTTATATGGAGAGGGTGAGGTGAGGGGTGTTCAGCTGGACCAAGCAATTTCAACACTAGATATCACAAAATTCTACACACTGTACCTTTAAGTAAATGATCTACACATCTTTTACCGCATATTTGAATTATATATCTAGTTTTAAATCCCTAAAAAGACCAAAACCAACTATTGATTTCATGTTATCAAATATTTGTAGTGCAACCAAAGTCTGCTGCAGCTTATTCCACATAAGTGAGCTTCACTGTTGACTTAAGTTTTAATTATGAACATTAGCTTTGTAGTTCATTTATAGTCTGTGGTTGAAAACAGTACTAAACAATGCACAACTTACACCTGTTGGTTATATTTTCTAAAAAAAACAAATCAGAATCATCAGATGATGTATCCCTCCAACACACACAAATCAATATTATTAGAAATAATTTTAGAGGAGGAGAATCATATACAGTCGGGTGAAAATCAGTTGATGATCTTCTTAACATACAACCTGAAAGCTGCCCACAGGATTTTATGGTCACTCAAATTTGCCTTTACTTAATGTTTGTGTCTAGTATTGATTAATTCAGTGCCTGTGAGAAATGAATCCCTTCATATCCATATTTTGCAAACAAAGCGGTGCAGTGTCTTTCTGTCGCTTATTGCTGAAAAGTTCTGAGATCAGCGTCCCAATTTGGCTTAGTCAAACTGGTTGCCATGGAAATACTGAAGAAATAAAAATTTAATGAGACCCTAAATATCAAAAGGCACCGCTCCACTATCTGAGTTAGTGTTCTGCTCTCGAAAAGGAAATAATTACAGAGAGACATACAGATATGGACGTCATCCCCTTGCATTATATGATGTGGGAATAAGAACATTTCAAGTTTTATCCATAATAGAAATAATTTAACACAAACTGTATCTTTCAGTCAGTGTTCTTAAGCCTCTGGTGACAGCCGTAACCAAAAGGAATTCATTCAAGGAATTGTTCATGTTCATCCATCGGTCCCATTCTCACGATGTCGCTGGAACGCTTTTAGGGAATTTCCTACCGTTTGGGGAGATTTAGAAAATGGTGCCCAAACGTCAAGGTCACTGTGACCTCACAAAACACACTTGGGCCATAACTCAAAAATCATTCACTAATTATGTTATTTGGATAAAATGACGAAGCGATGACATTTTTATACCCATCATCTTTACTGTGACATAACGTTCTGGGAAAAATCTGGTCACTATTCAACACAACAGAAAGGGAAGGCATGACCATATTTCCTACAACTTGACTGGTTGGCACAGGCATACAGACATCGACCGAGGGAAGCCTTGATTTATTATGTTGTAGTTTTGTTACTGATTGTTCTTCTGTCCTAAAGGCAATACCTGATGAGGAACCCGTGTCCGACCTTGCCCTTCCATCATCAGATACCACCGCACCACTCTGACTCCATAGAGTTCTACCAGAGGCTGTCCACAGAAACTCTCTTTTTCATCTTCTACTACCTGGAGGTAAGCACACACCCACTCCAGAATTACTCCCAGTGAAGCTTTACAGTTCTTTTTGCCTTTTCTCCATGACATACTTTTTCTTTTTTTCTTAATGGTTTCTCTGACGTCCTCTCAGGGCACCAAGGCTCAGTATCTGTCAGCCAAGGCTCTGAAGAAGCAATCATGGAGGTTTCACACCAAGTATATGATGTGGTTCCAGAGGCACGAGGAGCCCAAGACTATCACAGACGAGTTTGAACAGGTGAAGCGTCACCTCCACAGAACCTGAATCTTGTCTGTTGGGTGTTTCTGGGTCATTAATGACTGTTCTCTCCTCTCTGCTGTTCTTCCAGGGCACTTACATTTACTTTGACTACGAGAAATGGGGCCAGAGGAAGAAGGAGGGGTTCACCTTCGAGTATAGGTACCTCGAAGACAGAGACCTGCAGTGACAAACTGCGGGACACGAAAGGACAGAGAGAGACAAAACGTGCTGCTGTTGACATTCCGAGACTGAACTCCAAACTGTGGATAGAGATTGTGATGTGTAGTAGAAACCCTCTCCTGAATCGGAGACTGGTGTCTGTATAGGCTGAATCTCAACGTGAAGCTCTTGCTCCTCGTGTAGTGCTTTGATTTTGGACAAAAATGCCCCATGGGCCTGATCCGATGCGTCGCGCTGCACAAGCTGGGAGGGTTCTCATTAGAGGTCTGCGTTTGTGCCTGTCTGTGTGCACACTCAGTTTGTGGCATTAGGAAAGCCTACCCCATGCATGTTTCTCATGTTTTTGTTTTCTTTTTCCGTTTCAACGAGATTCTCTGTACCACCTACCCAACATGAGCCTGGAAGCCTTTGACTTGACACAAAACCTTGGATTTGATTAAGTATACTGCCCATCTTGTATTTACTGTAACTTGGTGGTTTAGAATGGGAACATACAGTGAATATTTAGTCATGGTGTGTAGGAACGGCTTCTTTTAAGACCCTATGATGCCTGTTGAACATGGTCACTATTAGAGATAGTGAGCAGTTATCAATAGTTTTATTGATATTGTCTTGGTCGATTAAAACGCTGATTGAGAGTGACCACAGGGCCTCTCCCTGTGACAGGGAAAGAGTCCTTATTGGACATGGATTAAATTGCTATGCAATTGAACTGGTCTCTGACTCCCTCTCTTTACAAATAAAATGTTCTTAAGTTAACCTGTCATAGAAAATGCATTATTATGTTTGTGACAAAATAAAAAATTCTTAGAATAAATTTTAACTTAAGAGTTTGAGACATGAATTTACTTGATGTTTGGTTCTTTTACTTCTAATCAGTCCCAATGAAAAATGCCACATGGAGCATAGTGAATGTACTCTTAATTATTCTTAAGATAATAAGTTTGCTTTGAGTCAGCTTCCCACCTCAAGTTAAGGTCTTATTCTATTTCTATTGATGTTAGGTCATCCTAAAATCCACTGTGTTCAATTTACCACCTGATATTTTCAGTGAAACACCCTATACAGTGAATGTGCACTGACAAACTTGTTTACATGTAGAAAAACAGAAATCCTGGTGGTGGATTTAACTTGTGGGTCGAGCAGGAAATGTCTCGTCTGCTGTGGTTGTTCATGTGCTACCCTGAAGAACAATGAAATATTATCTGGTCCTGGATCAGTTTGTGGGACGGATCTTAACTTTTTGGAGCAGTTTGAATGGGGAGAGTGTTAAACTGAATATTTTTTCCATTGAAGCAACCATGAAAACTTAACATCTGTACTGCAGTTACAATCTTATGTTGTGATTTGTTTTCAGGCTTCTGGGGGGGGGGGGGGAAAAAAAAGAAGATAAAATACAGTAAAGTTATGAGAGATTTGCCTTTTATAGATTCTATTTTTGGGGGTTTTAAGGTTTTCAGAAAGGGAAGGTCAGTGAAGAAATTGCTAAAAATGTGAATTTCAAGACGTATTTACAATTTTTCTCATCACAGTTCTGCATGGGAGATGTCATAAAATGGGGTCATAAACAGGATTGTACTATTTCAATAAATCCTTTTAAGAAAGTACAAGTCAGTGTGTGGTGTAAAGTCCTGTCATTACTACAGGGAACATGGATTCATCTATTTTCTAAGCTTTAGAAAAAGTTTAAATTGATGGATGTCACCACAGTTTTTACGGGAGGCGTGGATTTGTTTTTTAGAGCCTGACGAGACTTATTCAAGTAATACGACCAACCGCGAGTTAATGGTTTCAAATTTGACGTGTGCAGTTATTTGTAGAAAATTGATTTTAAAAGCACGGTGTAATGAGTAAAAACTTCCTTCACGCTTTGTCAAATTATCACATTTTATTAAAATGGAAAAATCAAAACTTAATAACTAAAATACAGGACAAAGCACAATGTCATATGAATTTGTAAATAAACTGAACTAACACTTGCTGTGTTGAGTGCAACTGCCCACATGCCAGATAACTGTGTGTGTGTGTGGGAGAGTCTTTACATCTTAGAGTCCTTCTTGACTTTCAGGAACTCTGCCATATTCGAGAAATATTTCTGGTTGGCTTCAGCCACCTTCTTCTCTGCAGCCTGTGGGTTCACAATCTCCAGCCCCTGAGGACAACCACAGCAGCAAAACATTGTTGGATAAACATAAACCAGCAATCTTCTCAGCAGACATTGGATTAAAGAGAAAACATTGTTTTTTACCTGTAGAGGAGTGAACGCTACACTGGAGCTGGTTCCTGACGAGCGATCTCTGACTGTCGACTTTCCTCCGTATGTCATGCTCTGCTTCTGCAATGTCCTCTGTTGTAAAAATAAAAATAGCAGAGGCATTAGAAATCAGGACAAATGTTTCATATGCCGTTGTTAGGAATTTAAATCCATAGTTAATGTGTTTACCTGGAGGGATTTGGAGATTCTGGCTTTGGTGGCATCGTTAACCTGAGCCTGCCTGACGCGCCCGCTGCCGCTCTTCCCCAGCTGACCCAGACTGAAGCCCAGATCCTCTTGATATGCATCATCTTCAATCTGCAAAAACACGTCAAAGGTAAGCTCAAGATCACACTGCATTGTCTTCTTGAAAGATCAAAAACCATTATCCAGGTTTCCAAGAAAAACATTTTATTACAAGCAAACAGGCATTACATGCTGAGTATTACATGCTGAGTATTACATGCTAAGTATTTTCACATTATATATGTTTCACCGTATCTCAAGTGACTACTTAGTAAATACTAGTTTTCTTCAATACTGTGTCTTATAGTGATGTACGCAGTTCTGGAACACTGGTGCGATAATGTATGATAGAAATTAGCTTTGTTCCTGATATTTTTTAAGTTGGGAGTTTTCTTGCACTGGAGTGAAATCAGACCGCTCACTAGCGTTTCCTCTTTCCTGGTAAAACCACAGTTTCTGTAAACTGGAGCGAGAGTCATAGCAAGGACAAGAGACAGTGAAAGCATTAAACCGTATCTTGCTTCAATTGTCTCTGGCACAAAGTTTGAAATTAAAATTCTGATTCTTGGCTGACATACTATAACTAACTGTCCCAGTTGTTTTGTCTATCAGAATCAGTTCATATTTGAATGTTCTGAAAAGGGATCAGTGTTTCTGTATTTGACGTGTAATCTTTTAAACTACTTTCATAAACATTTTGATTTTGTCATCATGAAAATCACTTTCCTGAGTATAAGATGTTCTACAGGACTTATATGCAACAGACAACAATAAATATACTGTAACATTATATTGCTTTATATATATATATATATATATATATATATATATATACGTATCCACTGACCTCTGCGAAGGTCATCCTGTTGGCGTGTTTCCTGATCTCAGTCAGCCCGAGACGCTCCTTCATCTTGCGATACCTGCAGAAGAAGAGATGAGAAGAGCAGCAGAGAGCACATTTTATATTTTTATTCACTTGTAGTTGACGGTGATATTCTAAACTTGGCTGTGCAAGTTATGTAAGACTCTTGTCTTCCATCATCCTGCACGGCCTTGTGCTTTGTTCTGCTCTCAGTTGTTACACAATGTTTCCTTTTATTTTGTTCTGGAAATAAAAGTCAGTTCACTCTCTGTAAAATTCTTCTATTAAGACCTTTAGATTTCATTTAGAAATTTGTTCTAAAAGCATCTCCCCTCTGTCCTCGTGGTCTTTGTGACAAGGCAAGTCAGTGTTTTATGTTGCTGACAGGTTGCGTACCTCCTTCCTCCTCTCTTCTTCCTCTGTCCATCCAGTGGAGCCGGGAGAGGCTTGACCTGCTTCACTGGTGGTGGTTCCTGCCATTTATCAAACTTTCTCTCTATCTCTTCTTTTAGATCATAGCCAACCTGAGGAGGAAAAAAAGACAAGATTTAAAAAAAAAAAAATTTTTTTAAACTTTATGACAAGTTACAATTTCTTATAGGAAAGTTTAAGGTTGTTAGAAATTTCTGGTCCCCCATATGTATAAATGACATAAAATAAATAAATATATATATATCAGTTCGTCTGTGTGTCTAATGGATTCATTTTGTAGCTCTTTCATTAGTATCTACACACAGATTCCGCATGAATGTGTAGAGCTATTTTCAGACATGACCTGCGGGTAAAGTCCTGAGAATTCGGTCCAGACTTTACCCGCAGTTCGCCTTTCACACAGGTATGTTTCTATGTGTATGACACCACATTTTCATTGGGAGGTATTTGCACTTGAACATTTGAGGTCACACAAACATCTCCTCTGGAGAAAGTGTGGAGAATATCCAGAGTTCAGTGCATGTCTGAAAGCAGCTTATCTGTCTTTTCTGAGAAGTCACCTTGCCGTCTGAGCTCTCATGGAAACTGTCCACTCGTGAAGCCAGCGTGCACTTTGCAGACACCAGCCGAGCTGCCTTCCTCCTGAGGTCCTGAACATAACAATGGCAGAAGCTGTTAGATAACAAAAGAAGCTGCAATGCAGGGGGGGGGGTGTAAATACATTGTTTATATTTATCTTTTTTGACTCACTGGTGGTAGTGACTGTACAACATCACAGTGGTAGATAAAGCCGGTGTGGGGAAGCAATGATGTGCTGCTGAAGCCAGACAGGGTTCTTCTCTGAGCTCCCAGCAGCATCAGATTACAGGCCGGCATCTTTGAGAGATTAGTAAGGCCGCCAGCAATACCTGAATAGAAAGGAGAAACCAGAGAAAGAAAGAGGGTGCAGAAATGAGATCAAAGTGAAAGTAATGCCAAAAATAACTGTAATCACAGAGTCCATCAACAGTTGTGACCTTTCTGTGTAATCCTGCAGTGAGTGCATATTTCTGCATGTCTCACCCATGATCTTTGCAGCTGTTGACGCTCCGACAATGATGGACAGATTTGGGGCAATGAAAGACATTCTGGACTCAACATATTCATATATCCTGTGTTTAGACTGGTTCAGCTCCAGGGCCATATCACATGCCTCCTCCAGCTGGTTCAGTTCATCCTCAGTTAGCTGTAACCTACAACCATGAAAATATAAAGAAAATAAACTTTCAGCAACACATTTTGTATGATTAAACACAGTTACATAATCTCATAATGATATGCATGTAAATAGCAGCAGAGCAGCTGACTGTGAGGACGTCAACCTGCAGAACGTAAAGCAGCACCATTTAATCAGAACAGCAGACAGACTCACCCCTGTGTGGTTGAGGCTGTGACACTGACGACCATAATAGTGGCATTGGTGAGGATTTGCTGCAGAGTCTCATTGGTTTTGCATTTCTCCAGATTGTTGCCCAGTTCCTAAGAAAAAAAAAACATTCATGTTGATTAATAACAACCTGCTGAACCTGTTCTATGTGAATAAAAATAAACAGGGTGAAGGAAAATCTGGAATAAAAGTTATTTAGATAGTGCAGCACTTGTGGGCCTTTTATTTCCATACATGCATCAATAACTACAAAAAATCTGTGCAAGTGATGCAAAAATGGTAACTATGGACATCGTGGTCTCAATCCAAAATTGTGTTTTGACAGAAAAGTTGAAAAACTCTTCTCACCTTGACTGTGCGAATGTAATCTAAAGAATCTGGAACCAGCGACTCGAGCTCCGGAAACCTCTTGGAATATTTGTCCCTTGTAAATTTGTGAATGATATCTGAAAACAAGGCAGAAAGACAAAAGATGATTTTGATTATACAGAACTAAATGAAATCCTTATTTCTTTAAAAGGTATAATCAACAGGCGACTCACTGAGCTCGTTGTCGATCTCTACTGTGAGATTATTGGCTGCTACAATCAGTCTGTATTCTGGGTCTGCTTCAACAGGACCGGAGACTAAAAGGAAACACACAAACCGTACAACACTTACAGCCAATTTACACCAGGGTGAGGAATTTGTAAAAGCTTTTCACACATCTTGACAGTTACAACATAAAACGTATTATAGAATGTCTGAAAAAACAATAAATGCTTTACACTCACCATCTGAATTCTTGCGCTGCTTTCCAATATATTCTGAAATTTTGTCAACGATCTCTGAAAACTGATCAAACAACAAGGTTATAAAAGCGATGACCAAACCTGGCATATTATTGTGTATAAATAGTGTAAAGCCCTCTCACCTGTTTGCTATTGCGGAGCTTGGCGATGGACGCAACACTCTCTGCTTTACTGTAGTCCACCTCCATCTCCTCTGGGATGTCTTCCAGTCCTCCCTCTGTCCTTCCCTGGGTCGCCTCTCCATCACTATCCCTCTCTTCTTCCTCTGGGTACAGCCCTTCCTCCCCCTCATCTCCGGCCTCCTCAAGGTCAGCCAGGAGCTCGTCCGCGAGAGACATCTGTAGACAGCAGCAGAGAATGTGAGGACAAGGAGATAACTTCCTTTATCAAGCTAAAACTTAATGCCATGGGCCGCCAGTAGTCTTGAGTGTTATTGACTGGACCCTGGCATGTGAAGTGTAGAAAAGCACTACACATCTTCTTATATAAGACCTACAGCAAAGCAGTATCAAAGTCCTTATGGGTCTGGACATAGCACAGAGATAAAACTCTTGAGAGACAGCTGTCTTCTGTCTGCAAGTACTGTTTTTCATAATGTTTTAGCCTAGTGAAATAAAGTCACTGCCCTTTATACATTACTGATATGTTGTGACGTGTTAACATTGTGTTGCAAACATTTTCATTGATTTCTCAGGGAATAATTCATGAATTTAGATGAAAAAAAGGTTTAAAATTCTGATTCTAGGTTGAAATACAAAAACTAACTGTGTCCGTTGTTTTGTTGAATGAGTTAAAAAGGTAGTAAACCAGAACTGCTTGAATATTGAAATGTTCTGAAAAGAAATCAGTGTGTGTTTCTGTATATTTGACGAGTAATTCTTAGAAGTACTTTCATTTACATTTTGATTTTGTCATCATGAAAATCCCTTTTCTGAGTGTGAAGTATGTTACAGGACTAATATGCAACAGACAACAATAAAAATACTACAACTTACATGAACATTGCAATATTAACTTAATGAAGTAATATTAACACAACATATGAATACATGTTTCTTCAAACATTTATAGCACTGTTTTTTTACCTGGAGCTTTGGCACAACACAAGGGTCCAAAACTAATATGAGGTTTTTGGTTGGATTGATGAATAAAATAAATAAAACTTTCACGCATCTTCTCCAGTTTAACTCATTATAATTTAAAAAAATTACAGACAATTTACAAAACAAGCAACTTAGAAAAACGGCGCCTTTAAAACCCATCCTGCCATTAAAGAAGGAAATATCTAATCACTGTAATATTAACACAGTAATATTCAAGTAACAAGAACACTCAGTCAATAAATGGAGAAGCTAGCTGGTTGGTTGGTTAGCTATTTAAGCTTTGGAGATAATGGCTGGAGTTATAACCTCAGGATATCGTGAACCTCTCAGTCTCTCAAACTATTTCAATAAATGGAACATGAGACAATGAGAAAAACTAGAACAGAGCACTTCATGGTCGGACACAGAGTTAGTGAGGTTTTTGAATGGCTCGTGTTAGCTAGCTAGCATTAGCACACGTTTGTTGAACGTTGGCTAAACGTTTATTAAACGACGTAAACTCACCTCGACGGTTTTTCGACTAAAGACACAAAACTACTGATGATTTACTGACGCTTGAAACTCTTCAGAATAAAAGTAGCTCGGCTCGTTGGGATGAGTTTCCTCGTCAGAGTGTGGCTCAGTGTTGTTGTATCCTCAGGCGGAGGTTTCGTTTGTCGCCGACTAAATACGTACATTCCCTCGCAGGGGTTTCTGGGAAATGTAGTCAACATGCTGCAAAAGCAAAAAACCGGTGGATATCATAACAAAACAATGAGATTTATTGTCATGAGACAGTTCGATAAGAGGTTCACATTTTTGTGGTTTTTATTTCCCCTTGTTTATACATTACCCCTTGAAAACCATTCTTAAAACAATACAGGTTTTAAACCAACATTTAAACAGACTAAACAAATGGACTAGTTGGACCTCGACTGCATGATGGACTCTTATTAGTAGAAAATGGCATAAATTAACAGATACACAAACAGATGGAGTTATTCACCGATGAGCGGCTTCCATTTTTCATGCTAAGCTACATTAACTGTCTTTAAACGAGGTCAAAGAATGACGAGACAGCTAAAAATCCATAGACATAGGAAAATAATCAAACATTACAGGACATAGTTCCACACAGATGGGCATATATTAACAAGTAAAATTATACAAAATACTTTTTTTTAGCAATTAATACGTTTGGGAAAATATTTTCGATTTATATGTTATGAAGATCTTACAGAGGATATAACCTAGATGCATTCTGTCCCAAACAAATTACAGTTAGGTTAATATATGTTAATTGCACAAAAGCAAATAAATAAATCGAATTATAAATAAGTAAATACCAAAATAAATAAAATATTGCATGGAAACTGGCTTTACATAAAAGGATAAAAATAAAATAAATAAATACTTAATAATAAATAATAGAAGATAAACCTTTTTGGAACTAAAAGTATTAAGAAACATAGCTTGTTTGATTTTCCGTGCAGTCTAAGAATACATCTAAAAGTAAACAGCTCTAAAATGATACTGTATACACTTGTATTATGATATTTGTACAAATGTAAATGAGTATTCTCAAATCAAGGAGTCAAGCGATTTCTGATTCAAACTGCTGCCTACAGGAACAACCGACTGACTGCAACAAACAACTTTTATAAAGAGAGGACTGGAATCCAACCGTTTACATAGACAGATGAATGACTAAAGAAAGTGCATTCCCCGCACATCTGGGGAATAATACAACAGAATGAAGCAGAAAAAGAGAAGGTAAGCTGGTACACAGCAAGACTCCCACTGCATAGCTGTCAAATCAGTTTCAGATTTTACAAAGCTCCAGGCTCCTCTTCTCTTAGCATATGCTGCCTTTTGCAAAGACTTCTTGTAGCCGAAGGCTCTGAATAAACTCTGTAAACAATGGCAGGCCGGAGCACAGCAGCCCCTGTCATACAAAATCCTGTCGCTGGTAAAACCTGGAATGTGTCCAGCCTCAAGAACGGGAGTATCTTTCTTTCAGTTGCCTATTCAATAAAAAAATAGCCTCTGGGCGATTGGCTGGTTGTTGTGGTTAATTCACTGGCCAGTCCAAGAGGGTTGAGCTCTGAAGGTTCCCACGACGACACCTAACATCACACCAAGTGGGGGTCGTTAGCAGGACTGACAGTGAAGCGCGATGATGTCACTGGATTGGCCCCCACAGGCGACCTTGGTTTTAAATCCTCTTTCCTCTTTGATTCTTTGCTTTTGATGTTTGGCCCTGATGGTAAGAAAAACAAAATCAGACGTGATAAAGTGAAACCCTTCAAAGCTGGAACTGTTGAGTGGATTACTCAATGGGACTACTGAGCTCAGACCTAGGAGCCCAAAGGTGGGGCCCAGAGGCAAGAGACTGTTTTAAATGACCGTCAAAGGGGAACTCTTTATTCTTCAAAGATCTTGACAAAATCTCTTCGCGGCTCCAGAAGCTGTGTCAAGACTGATAAATTGAAGTGACGTCACATTGTCCACTGGGTTTGAAGACTACTGTTTGAAAATAAAAATAAATATGCACAGAAAGAATATCAGGTTACCAGACCTCTGTAGACCCTCATCTTTGTTTGAGGCTACATTAAATACTACCAGCGTAACAGACCCAAATCTCCAACATGGAACAAAGGACAAGTCTCTTTTGGTTTTAAACCAACCTGACAGTTCTGGTTTTACTGCAGTATATTACTGAACTCAACAACTATAAACAATGTTGTTTTGTGTCTCTTTCAGTCTTGCTCTATTTATGGTGGGTGGACTTTACACGTCTGTGCACAGTGGCTCATTGTCTAATAATCTATCTGTGACATGGATAAAGAGTCAGACATTAATGCCAAACCAAATACACTGAAGAAAATAAACCATTAATCTGCATATATTAGTTAATACTTAACTAGGTTAGGAAAAACACAATGGTTTCTAGTTTTAAAAAACTAAATGCGAAAAGGAACACAGCCTCTTTTTTCAAGACTAAGAAAGATCATAAAAGCATCTAATTCTGGGGTTTCTTCATTACGAACAATATTCTGATTCCAAACTTTCATTATTCTGTGAATGAGGCGATGAGAGTTTAAAAATGGAAAGTGAGAGAGAGTCGAGACAGCAAATTAAACTGTGTTGGGAAACACAGCTTAGGGTTGCATTGTTGATGGCAGTATTTATGTCCGCGCTCATGTCACAGAGTCGAGGGGGATGATTACAGAAGATTAACTCTAGCGAGAAGATGGTTGAACTAAGGGTTTTCCATTTCAGTGATTTTATGAGTTAGAGACTGTCAGATTTTATTACATCATTCTGAAGATCAAGGTGGAAACAATGATAATAGCTATAAATAAAGAAAGATATTTCAGCTTAATGCACATTTTCTTTATGGTGGAAAAAGTGTGCTCTGTGCTATGTGCTAAAATGAAAATAGCAACAATGCTATAAATGCTGATGTGCAAAATACCTCAATTTTACTCTTTGTGGCCCGGTGCAATACCAACCACAAAGTACAGGTTGAATACATTTTTTCCAAAGATCTTTACAGTAATTTTAGCTAATGCCTATCACACTGATGTATGTTTGATTGTTGATTTTTCCATTCAGTTAAGACATAATTAGCTGTTTGATAGCTGAGACCTCGATACCACGGCTCCACATCACAATCTCTAGTGTGCAGAGTTGGGCTCTACATGATGACACAGATATTTTGGCTTCATTTGTGTGCAGTGGGAGGAGGAGATGTGTCACCCATCTTTATTTACTATTCATCAGTAGCATGAGATGATTTTGAATTTACCATGCAGATCCAACTTGTTGCTTTTGACAGAAACGGCAGCTGGACTCGTGGTAGCTGAAGAGCTCAACTTATTTGTTGGAGTTTCCTGTTGTGATGAAACAGAAAAGTCAGACTTCCTCTAATAAAATCTAAAATGATCTGTATATTATGTTTGAAATTTATGAGAAATACCTGATCAAAAAGATAGATTGTGACATCATCAAAAAAGGACACATTTCGTCCTCTGTCCCTCTCTCTGTCCATTGGCTCCTTGGGTGACTTCAGCAGACTCCTCAGCCCAACGCGTTTGTCCACGTCGGTTTCTGTGACGACGATCACCCTCCGGGAACTTTCGTCCTCCTGTTCATCCTCCTCATCATCGTCAGGGTCGCTCCCTGACGACAGACCTCTCCGTCTTCCAATCCTGTTTCCAATCGCTCCATCCCCAAATCCTCCTTTACCGGTGGGGGTGAGGGGGAGAGTCAGAGCGAGAGGAGGGAGGGCGAGAGACAGACGAGCGAGTTTTGCTGTGAAAATGAGAGAATGGAAGAGATATTAAATACAATACTCTCGTCTAACTGGAAGTAAACATCAGTTCATACTTAGATAAGATAAGTAACTAAGTAAAACTTATGTACAAATACATTATACATTGGAAAATAGTGTTCTTTCTTAACTATATATTATTAAAAAATTTTTGTCAAAATCAGAAAACATTTTCACACAATGAAAACAAAACAATCCTTGAGGTAGAATAATTTATTCTACTTTATGTTCATTTAAAAATAAACTACTGAGATGTACTATACATGTTCGACTAAGGAACTCACAGCATCATACAGTACATAATAATAAGTCATTTATGTATATTGAGTTTGTATTTTATAAGTTATTATTTGTAACAAACGTGATATGAAGGTACCTTTCATTGCCTGGTTTGCAATGGGCTGAGGTGTAACCTCAGGTTGTTCAATCACAGTGAGCGGCTCTTCTTTAGGTTCTTCATGTTCGTCGATGTCGGGTTGAACGTTGGGAACAGTTTCCAGCTCCTCTTCACTACAACAACAGCAACAACAGGAGAAATATGAATTTATTAAAAATGGAGTCAATTGATTAAAATATTAAAAACAAGAGCATGTCTATAGTTTTGAAACAAAATATTTTCCAATCAAATCTAGTCGCAGTGTGTTCTGTAGATTTTTTTTTCTTTCCATCGTAAATAACAATCAGGGAGCGATATCTAAAAACAAATAAAAGCATACATATATATATATATATATATATATATATATATATATATATATATATATATATATATATAGCTAAATACTTGTGTGGCCAAATTACTATGAAGCCCTTAAAGTAAAAAAAAAAAAGTCTAACATATGCAAAAGAATAGAATTTTCCCCCCAAAATCAGAACTCAAGTGTAGATACAGTAAAAGATTCAGTACTACCAGAAGTAAAAAGGAAAATCTGTATTTTTGTGTTTTCCATTTGCATGAACCAAACCTTTAAACATAAACTAAGATATTAAGGGTAAGATCTCCATGTTTAACCTTCGTCTCACCTTTCATCGTCTATCTGCTCTTTCACAGTGACCAGCTTGCTGCTCTCTGAGATTTGTTCTCCCCACGGTCGCAGCGTTGCAGTGTCTTTCACAGTCGCTCCCCAAAGCACATTTGTTTTCACATTTTCACTGAGGGAGAACTGCAGCCTCTCCTCACACACCTGAACCAACAAAACAAAACAACAGACAGGTGAATAAGGTCAGAATAATAATACAAAGAGCAAACTTTACTCATAAGAAACATACTCACCTGCATCATTAGGCCATTCTTCGTTGTCATCTTGGAGAGAGACCCCTGGTCTTTGATGTCAGATGTCTGGCCTGATGATCTCAGCACTTCATTGATCTCCTCTTGTGAATCCAGGATCATGGGAGGTGCAGACTCCCCCAGATTATCAAAGTTATTGGAGATTCCATCCTCCTTCAAATCCACCCTGCTCTCCCTGGGAGGAGAGGAGTCACAAATCTCCTCACCTGTGTCCCGATCCCCGGAGCTGCTACCTTTCTGATCAGGTGATTTCTTCAAAGATTCCAGGAGCTCCAGGTTTCCCAAGAAAAGCTCCCCCAGAGCGTCCTCCTCATCCCCAGATATGCAGCACAACTGCTCCAGTTTTTCAAAATCCTCCAGGGGCTCCTCGTCCAAATCTTTCCACTCAGAAATCAATAGTTCTGGGAGATTGTTGACAGGAGCTTGGGGTGAAGAGGGGGTGGTGGATGATGTTTTCTGGGAGAGGTCATTATGTTCCTCCTGACTTTCACTGTCAGATGTAAAATTGCTGTCATCATGCATTGTTATATGCACAGAGGGCAGGTTCAGGTTGGCCAAGATCCCTTTACTCTGCGTTGGAGCAGGGGGGGATTCATGCAGTGGAGGCTGCGGGACGTTTGTATTGTGCGGTGGGAAAATATACTGCTCAGTGTCAGTGCTGGCAATAAAGTCGTCTAGATTAATGTGACTAATGAACTCCTCTGCCTCGATAACAGAGAGCGGTGGACTAGGAAACGAGTCGTCCAAACTTTCCAATTTATCATCTTGCACGTCAAGGTCTATGCTCGGTGGAGGACTTGGAAAATCTACGGAGCTGAAATTATCTACCTGTGGATCTATCTCCTCCTGTGAGTCAAGGTCACGGGGACAACAGATGGGATCTGACTGAATGTCTCTGAAATCCTCCTCTGTGTTCATGAAGACAATTCTATCTTCTATGTAACCAGACAGCTGTGGTCTCATTTCAGCCTCTGAATCTAAACCTGATTCCTCATTTTCCAGGTCTGCAAAGTTCACATGAGGAGCTTCTGTGATGCAAATTGATATATTTGCGCTGTTATTCTGAGTGTGACTTAAGTAGTTATCTAAATTAGAATCAGTTTCCTGGTCAACATGCTCAGCTGATGCCTGCTCCTCCGTTTGGATCTCGCTGAGGTGATTCTGAGGCCAACTGTTAAAATTGTGATTCTCCTCTGTCTCTGTCGAGTCTAGCCAACCTTCCCTGTACCCGACCGTCTCTGTGCATGATAAAATCTGCCTCTCTCTTTGCTTTGAGGTCTCTTGCTCGGGGATTTCTATATTCTCCACTTCAATATCTGAGATTTCTCTTTTCAGCACCTTGTTGAAACTGTCAATTTCTCCTAGATTCTCAATATTTTCATCCTGTTGTATGTGTACTGATTGGGAAGCCGGCTGGTTTTCTTTGTCCTCCGGGTCAATGTTTTCCTTCATGCTGAGATTACCGGTCAGTCCTTGTGTTTCATCATTCCACATTTCTTCACAACCCTCCTGGACAGCCGGGTGAGGTTCACTTCCTGCAAGTTCATCGTTTTCCTCAGTCTCCCAAAACTCCTGACCTACCACGAGCCTGTCCCCCACCTCCCATGCTTTATTACTGAAGCCGGAGAAGAATTCAGATCTTAGCTCCATATCTTGGCACCTCTTCTCCGGAGACGCCCACTGGTCATTTTCATCGGGCCACAAGCGCAAGTCCCTTGACTGTGAGAAACGGTGGCAGTCAAACTCTCCTCTCACCACGTCAGGACCTGATTTTTCTTCATCCTCCTCCAGAGCACTCCATAACTCTTTAGCTTTAACATCCAGGCCCTCACAGGAATCTGTATCCGCATCGTTTGCAGAGTCAACGCCACTTGCTCGTCCTCTCAGGGGCGACTTTTCCTTCATGGCATTACTCATCTCTGCAGCAGCCAGCTGTTTCTCCGTCTCTGTAGACGTCTTCTTTTCCTCGCTGCTGTTTGAGCAGCAGAGGTTTCTCAGACCCAGCTCATTGTGGTCTATACCAGGCCTTTCTTCACGTGTCTCAGGTTCTTCATCATCCCTCTGAGCCCATGTCAGTCCACTCACTTTATCACTGTCAGACTTCCCATCATCCCTTGACTCAACCTCTGACTGCGTTTCATCCATGAGTATGGCGTTATTGCTTTTAATGCTGTATAGTTGAGATATTCTGGAATCTCCGTTGGCAACTTTGGACAGTTCTACATTTTCCACAGTGTCACTTCCATGTTTGAGGGAATTCAGTGCAGAGAGATCAACATCGATCTCTGAAACACTTGTGTGATCTTTGATGCTTGATCTTAACATGCAGTCTTTGGATTGACCAGATACAGACCTGATCAAAACATTTGTCTCAGTGAGGCTCTTGGAATCGTTATCTGCAGAGTCCTGGTGTCTGTGATCTGTTATCTGGGAGACGATGCCATCTGTGTAGAGGTTGTCTACATGACTGTGTGGCAGCCCTTTCAGTGGCTCATCGTCTAACTTAGAGAACAACGTATCGATAAGTTCAACACAGTCCTTGGCCTGGGGATCGTCACACAGCAATGTTGACTTTTTGCTGTCATTGTGGAAAATGCCAGAATCGTCCCTCTGTGAGGACTGCAGCCCTTTGCTAAGAATATCTTTGTCATCAGCTAGAGTATAGAAGCAATTTTCAGTATTTTGATATGTTATACCCTCTTCACACGTCATGACAGTTTTTCCAGTTCCAGTTCTTAAAGGACTCTTTTCCCAAAACTCTCCCTCCTCCTCAGTTCTTTCCTCAATCCCTGTCAGTATTCCCCGATCTCCTCCTCGACCGCTGCTCGGCCTTGATGAGTTGAGTCCATCGCTGCTCCTCCTGTTCATCCCGTCACCCTCCCAGTCACTGTCTGAGAAATAGGCAGAGTCTCGATGTGGTGTTTCATTTCCCAGTGCTCGCCACCCGCTGCTCCCTCCTCCTCCTCCTGTCCATGAGTCACTAGGTGTGAGGCAGTCGGCCGAGCTGGAAGTCATAGGTGACAGGACCGAGTCTGTGGGGGTGACGAGCGAGACATCAGAGGATGGGTCCCAGTCTGGAGTGGTTGGAGTGGCGGCAGGACTGGCTGCCTTTTGACAGTATTTTTCTGGGCCGCCATCAATGAAGTGAAGTAAATTTTCTCTCTTTGTCTTTACAAAGCTTTCATCGTCATTTTGAGAACCCATATTTTTAGAGTTCTCCAACTCAGCAGCTGCAGAAATGTTATCAGCGTGGTTCTGTTCTGTCTTGGGATCATGTGACGTGGTATCAGTCTTTCCACATATTTGATCTCCTCTCTCAGGACTAGTGGCCCGTAGGTCTTCCTTCATTATTTCACCGTTCCCTACAACAGCAGACTTTTGAGTATTTGCTTCATGTGTAAACAGCAATTGGTTATCATGCAGTATCACAGTGTTGGATTCTTTGACATTCTCAGAGGACTCCAGAGAAGATGCCTCTGAGAGATCTGTTTGCTCTCCTCTGGCAGGTAAAGCAGGACCATCCGCACATTCCTCCTCCTTCTGACATACAGGCATCTGGTTGTGCAGTAAACCGTTTTTGGGCATGATCTCTGAAAACACAAACTCACCAGATTGGCAGTGGTCAGCATCGTTTCCTTGGCTGTCCAGTTTGAGATTCTGTTTGTTTGATCCTATGTGAAGGATTGGGATCTCAGGTCGGATGGAAACTTTTATCTCACTCTTTTTAGCACGCTTGGTCACCTGGGCATAGATGGCCTCGGTTTGTGCATCATCTTTGCCTTTGCTTCGTATGGAGTTCTCTGACTGAAAACTAATGGTCTGTGTGGAGTTTGGGTCAATGCATATGGACTCATATTCAGGTGATAGTGGAGTAGGAGAGGAAGCGGGTTCTGCCTCCTTCCTGTTTGCTGCAGCGTTTTGTCTTGATATTATTTCCGTCAAAAAGGTCTCCGCCGACTGGATCTCTTTCAGGAACTCCTCCCTGGTCATTTCAGCTCTCTGTGGCTCCTTCTCAGTTTGCTGTAGATCAGACTCCTGCTTGCTGATGGTGATCTCAGAGAGCAGAGAACGAGACCTGCGTATACCTTTTGAATACGCGTCCTCAGCCTCAGTGCATGAGGGAAAGCCTGGAGTGCAGACAAATGGCCGTAATCTGGATCCTGCAGGATAGAGGTATTTTACTGGGTCACTGCTTGATCCTTCCTCCACATCCACGTCCATCCTCCCTGTGTCGATCTCTGTCAGGAAAAGTTCCCTCTGAAATGATTCTTTAGTAACTGTATATTCCTCCTCAGCTCCTGTCTGGTTGATATGTTTCTCTGGCCCCCATGACTGCCCCACTGATCCCAGCTCTGTAATCAGAGACTGGGAACGTCTCATTCCTCTGTTGGGCAAGACAAAGTTTCCCCATCCCTCTCCATCTCTTTTCTCCACTTTCGTTCCCTCCCATGAAGCCTCTGACTTGGACTCGTTGGACTCTGTCACAGTAGATATTTCTGTCAGAAACAAATGCATAGGGGATTTTTTCGCTGCGGCTACACGTTCAGCCTGAAGTTCAGCATCCTCTTTCCAAATGGCAGGGAGGATGGTGTCGAGCCGAGACTGCGTCCTTTTCATTCCCCTGAAGAAGAGGTCCGGAATGGCTGGGTCTGCATCTTCAGACAGGCTGGAGTGGGTGACAGTCGTCGCACCGCAGGGTCTCTCAGGAGACATGAAGGGAGAGTCATCCTCATCTGAGTAGGTGGGACTGGACGAAGACTGGCATTCAGTCTGGGGGCGGGGTAGATTGCGATAAATAGGGCGCAAAGGGTTTTCTCGACGAACAGGGGAATCAAAGGCTTTTACACGTGGATGAGAAGCCTCCTTTGAGTTGTGCAATGATGCTGCATGTCTGGTGACACTCTCTCTATGTGACAAGTCACTGGATAGTGGGTCTCTATTGCATCTCTGCATCTGCGGCTTACTGTATCTGGAGTAAAATTCATTGTAGCTGGGGCAGCTTCTTTGTGGTTTGGAGTGGGGAGGGAGAGGAGGAGGACACATTTGAGGAGGCTGAGGGTAAATTGGATGGCTGGATGGGGGGAGGGACGGGGAGAGGGACGGGGATGGGGGTAGAGTCTGTCTGGAGCGATGGAGCCCAAAGTGATCAAAAGTAGAAGGTGGACAGCTGCTCATGTGATGGGGGTCTGTCTCGATTTTTCCGCTAATGCTGTAGTGAGGCAGTCCTCTGTATCCGAGCGGAGGGGCGGGGAGGGGGCGTGAGTGAAGGTGATTGGCTGATGACATGGACATAGAGCGAGGTTTGGGAGGGAGAACTGGGGCTTGGGAACTTGATGATCTTTTATCTCCCTCACTGCTCTTCTTCTTCTCCTCCTCTTCGTCGTCCCCTAAATCAACCACTGAGAAGTCAGTCACTCTGCTGGAAGTGTCTCTGAACTCTGCCATACCTGTGTTAGGCACCTGGAGCTGAACCTCACTGGATCTGACCGTCTGCAGCCCCTTTCCACATTTGTCAGAGGAACAATACGGGATGCGCTCTTTACCCAGCAACCCACTGCGGATCTCAACCAGCTCCACATCTCCAGGGCAAATTGAGTCGGAGCGGAAAGAGCACTGTGCCTTCCCTTTAAGAGTTGGCGACCTGTCCTGGGGAGTATGCTCCTCTAACCTAATGTAGTACTCGCTGGCAAGGGAGGGACTGCGAGCGCTAATAACCGGGACCACAGTGGGAGTGTCCAAAGACTGTCTGTGGTTATTATTCACAGTAGGGATTGGCTGAGGAGGAGGAAGTGGTTTGTAGCCTCGTCTGGCATGAGCCTTCTCCCAGAAATACTCAAAGTTCAATCCTTTGCTTGTTTCAGTGACTGTCAGGATGTCGTCCAATTCAGACGAGGACGGGGTGATACAGTTCCCCACCGGGTCCAGCAGGGGGTAAGAGTTGTCTCTGTCCTCCCTGCTGTACTGTCTCTCCCTTTGCCGCTCGTTTGCTGCAGTCTGGAAGGCAGGTGGTCGGAGTAAGTCCCAGCGTCTTTCAAACGATTCCTCGCTCTCGCCTCTCCTTCCCCTGCCCTCCTCATACTCCTCGTCCTCTTCATCCTCTTCCCCAACACTCCCCCTGGCCATTCCTCGCTCTGCGGCCAAGAGGGAGGAGAGGAGGAGGAATATCTCAGCTACAGATGGGCGCTGAGATGGAGGTAGCCAGCAGGACTGCATGATCTCATACCTGAAGAGAAGAGCAAACAGAGGAGGAAAGTTATGAGAGACACAATTAAGGTATTCTTGCCTTCGATTAACATCATTAATAAATAATCATTTTGTGAATAAGTGCACTGACCAGTAGTCTGCGTGGGAGAGTTTGAGTCTGGGCTGGGCCAGCGTGATCTGTCTCTCCCTAATAACGAAGGTCAGCACCTCTTCATCACTTAGGTGTCTGTGGGGCTGGGAGCCAAATTCAAATAGCTCCCATATCACCACCCCCAGCGACCTGGAAGAGAAAAAGATGAAGAGATGGTGAGACTAATGTTCACAGCCCTCTTAGGTTTTGGTTATGTAATGCTTGTTCTGCAACACCATATTCATTCAGAGCTCTGACTTCCCAATAGACAAGATTAAAGGCATAGTCAGAAAAAAACAAGTGTAAAGATATTCTATATTTAATTCAATTATTAAAGGGAAAATGTCTGAAAAGGGAACAAGATTATTCATATCTTCTTCAAAACTTAAGTCAATACTCTTCTACTTTACTTTGTTTCAGGAATTATGTCCTGTTGGTTCCTTCAATAAAACACATTAAAGTGGAGTCTGTAAAATCAGAGCCTAAGGGTTCAGTCCAGTTCAAGCCTTTGTTTTTGATCACTCCCTTTGGTATTTCTGGGCCTGGCTATAACAAGTAGACTGCTGACACACTGATGGAAATCCAGACTCTGCTTCAGCAACATTGAGGTCACACTGATTTTAAACAGAAGGCTTAATTATCTGTGGAATGAGTTGTTGGAGAGCATTTTCAAATCAGCTGCCTTTGTCTCTTTAGTTTCACATCAATGCAAGATTCAGAAGAATTTTGAAACTACAAACAAGACTCCACAAAGAGCTTTTCTTATTATCAGCACACAATACACTCGCACAATTTTCGTTCAGTGTTCAAAACATGTCTTCCTTAAGATGAGTTCAAGTGCATACGTATCAAGAGATTTAAGGTTTATTCTTTTTGTCTATTTAATAGTATTTTTGCTCATGTAACAGGTTTGAATATTTTAGAGTTAGGGTTCCACCACTGATGAGAGAAATGGAAGCAGACTTTAATATTGTTCACACCAGACAAAGGAGCAGGATGACACGTAAAACCTACCACACATTACTGGTCTTGGTCTGGTCAGTAACGATAAGAGATCCTCTGTATTCCTCCAGCAGCTCAGGAGCAATCCAGCGCAGTGGGATCCATAGCTTGTCTGGAGTTAGGTAATAGTCCTCCTGCACAAACACACAGCAGAATTAATTATAATACATTACCTCAGACACAACAAAGATGAAATACGTTGCATGGTTTAGGATCAGATGTACACATCCACATACCTTATAATGGTTGTGTGAAAGGCCGTAGTCGCCTATCCTGACAGTGAGGTCGGAGGTCAGCAGACAGTTTCTTAAAGCCAAATCACTGCATGACGAGAACACAACCACCAAACCACATCAATCTGAGAACCAAACTCTCTGTCTCTAACTATAGGAGACATGCAATCTTGTTTAAAGACTTTGGTCGTGATAATTGAACTGAACTGAATAATGCATGGCAGTGAAGCCACAGCTGACCTGTGGATGTAGTTGTTTTCATGGAGATGCAGCAGGCCCGAGGTGATCTCAAAAGCCATTCTCTGAAGAGTCAACAAATCCCGAGTCGGCAAGTCTGGAGTCATCCCATCTGACTTGCGCTGGGCTCGCAGATACCTCTTCAGGTCACCCTGTTTGTATATCAAGACAATAATAATGCAGGAACTGAAATGTATATAGTCTTCAGTAGAAGATGAGATAATGCCATATCGGCAGTAAGCGAGTTTCTCATGCTGCGAGTGATATTTGTGACTTCTGCATTAGACACTTCCTCATTTAGGTATTTTCCATCATAGAGGGAGAGAGAAGCAGCAGGGGAATAGGTAATGAGCTGGCAGACTTTGTATTAGTCATTAGTGCTTCAGGAAGGGCAAGGAAATAAAATAAGGAATTTATAAACGGGTGACAAAGTGTGAAAAAGAGGGTAATAGCCGTATATGGTGACAGTGTGGTTTGGCTTCTCTCACTGTGTTTCTGTCATTGATCTGCTTGTGTTTTTGTTTGGCCTGAGAGTCCACTCACATAGTTTTCTTAATCAGCCAGTGATTAAGGCAGCTAATGGAGGGAAAACAAACTGATCTTCTTGATTTCATAGTCACTGGGACACCTATAGTTCTAATGCAGCAATAATATACAGAGCTACTGAAAATAAAACAAGGCATAAACAAAGTTAAGCTCTGATTAAAAATAACTTCATGTCTGATGCAGTTAAAGCCTGATTACAAACTGCAACAAAGGCTGAATATAACAGCTTGCATGCTAATTAACAGCATTTGTTGGAAAAAGCAGTCTGGTGACTAGCATTGTTTTTTCACTGACATGTGACGATTAATAGGACTCCTAAGCTGCCATAATATTTGTGTATGAATATGCAGCGTCAAAAAATCCAAAGCAAGACAAAAGAAAGATAAAATTAGGTGGATATTATATTCTGTTCAAAATGACCCACCTCTCGTGCAGTGCTGGAATTATGACACAGCTTTAGCTGCTTTTTGAGCACATATATTATTTTGTATGTTCAGTTTCCCTTTTTCCCTTTGTCCTTTACTGTATAGTACAATGTATAGTATCAAATCATTATAAATTGGCTGATTTGTATTTACCAGCTGACAGAACTCCATAACCAGGAGGAACGGGATGCTCTCACTGCACTGCCCCAAACACTGAAGGATGTTGGGATGTTTAAGGCTCCTGTAGAAAGAGACACCACAGAGAGATGGACACATAGATTAAAGGGCAGTTAAAGATAAACAAGATAGAACGTGTGTGAAAATGACTCCTTGTGGTCATATTATTCAGTTTGTGTTTGAGTTGGGATGGTACTCGCTGGTTTTGCCCAGAGAAAAGAGTATAGAAAAGTGTTGTTTATATTTTAATTTGGTTAATACAGCAGCCTCAACTTATGGATGACCTGACTTTAAGGTCCAAAAATTGCTTCTTGACTTTAGCAGTTACTCCCACCTGTACGGCTCTGACTCAGCCAAGAACTTCCTCTGCTCCAGAGGGCTGGCACTGACACGCAGCTCCTTCACCACAGCCTGAGAGGAGCTGCAGTCACACAGCACTTCCGCCAGGATCACCTATAGAAGAGATCGATGGACTATCACACGGAAGAATGACCAGGAGGGGATCGGCAGTAAAAGAGCTATTTTGACCTGGTCTGCGTCCAGTATTAAATTAAACATAGCAAACTGTGTGTAAGAAAAAAGAAAATCTACACTATGACGAGGTTCATTCTGAAATGATTTGATTGTGAGAGGCAATCATCTTACCTTTCCAAACCAGCCATTTCCTATTTCCTGAAGGTAGTTTAAAGTGTGTCTTTTGAAGCACTGAGACTTAGAGTCTGCAAAGAAGAAGAGAAATAAAAAAAGATCAGGGTCATGCAGTCGTCAGCAAGTGATGTTTTTATGATATAATGTTACACAACAGGGGAAAAAACAGCTTTAAAAACTGATAGACTGAAGAAAGAACAGCCAGCATCTAATAACAAACCACTCATTTTTGCACTGTGCTGCAAAATAGGAAATACTGACAGACACAAAGCATTCCCTCAGACACAAATCTATTGCCATCAGCCAATTATATTCTCAAATCACTTATAACATCATGTTTTGTTTGACCAACAGAAAGAAACCCTGAGTTTTTTAATTTACTACCAATTCTCAAATTTGTAAAGCTGGAAAAACAAATTTAATGAATGAAATAAGCAATTAACTGATTATTTAAGATGCTGCCAATTAATTTTCAGCTCATCAAAATTTGATTAATCAACTAACCACTGAAGCTCTAATCGTTACCAAGCACAAATCTGTCCCTCTGTCACTGCAGGTCAGACAAATGTCAAACATCACCTGCTCACTCAGAGCGATGAAACAGATCATAGTTTCCACTTCACTGATGTTGCCCATACTGGTTGAATACTCGGTTTGAGACCTTTAATGGATCCACTTCAGCGATTCAGGCAACAGAGCCTGAGGGCGTTTAGCACTGGCTCTCATCCGAGCTTCAAATCCTTCAAAACAAAACTGAACTCATGCTGAAATAAGAGTGAGCAGGAGAATTGTTACCTGCTCCATCCTGCAGGGCGGGGCAGTTGGACCTGTCTCTGACTGGTAAGGTGTAAACCTCAGGGAGGGAGGGACATGACGACAGGCTGTCCTCCTGGATGGGGCTGGAGCCTCCAGAGCACTCCTCCCCGTCGGCATTGTCAAACTCCTGGTTGATAATTAAGAATAGAAAATAAGCCACACTCTTTCACTCTGTCTCTTTTCACTTAATACGGTAATAAGGTTGACTTTAGCAGTAAGTATCAAGGGCAGACAATGAGAGAACAGCTCCTCAGAGTAATGACAGCCTGTCAGCTAAACAACAACAACTCTGTTGGATGAAAGATGGAGGCTTAGTCAAGATTAGACGGAGAGATGATTATTGACCATTTCTACCTCATTAAATAGGAGGCATTGACTGTTTCTATTTCCATCAGTTTACCGAGTCTAGTTTGTCTAGCTTATATAAAACCCATGCAGGAATGCACAAGAAGGTGTGACAAATCAAAGAAAGCAGAGGGAGGTGAATAAATCTCTTACATGTTGAAGACTTACATTGAACCCCACTCCTCTTTTACAGCACAGGCAGGTGAGGAGCAATAGGACGAAAGAGACGAGCCCAGAGCAAGAGATGAGGATGACGACATAGGGTGGAGGAGAGAGAGATGCAGCCCTAGATTGAGAAACTGAGGGGAAGACAGGAAGAAGAAAATAGAAGGGAGGAGAGGAGTTAATACAGCAAGTCAGGGTGGATGTGCTTCTGTAAGGTGGGGAGGGGCAAACTGTTAGGTTTGAGTCAGTGAGAAGAAAAAGAGAAAGTTCACTGAATCAGAAAAGTGTAAATTCTTGTTACATAGGTTTTTTTAAGAGGGGGAAACGACTGGAGCGTTTTCTTAGCAGCAGGTTTGGGACACAGTGGAGGACCCCAATGGACAGCTTGCATCAGGGGATTTGGGGTGGGGGGTTAAAAAAGCAGGAAGAGAAACTAAGCTGAAGATCAAAAACATTGTCTGGATCAGTAAAAGAAAATAGAGACTGGAATTAAAAGTTTGAAAGTGGGAGAATATACCATTCCAGTAAGGACAAAAGCATGGGGGGAGGGGGGAGATATCAGAAATGGCATTCCACTCAGGAAACACAGTTAAGAAGCAGGGAAGGGGGGTGGCTGGAGTTGTCATTTAGGTAAAAACGGGAGCGCTAAATTGGGAAAGGGTTGGAAATTGGAAAAGATTGACTCAAATCAGGAAGGTTGACTACTCAGGTGAGAGAGGGAGGGATCGGGACATTTGATATTTGTACCTCAACATGGTCGATTGTGAGAAGTGAACCATCTGTAGAAAAGAAAAGGGGCAGGGCAGGGTGGTTAAATACCCTTCAGGTGTTATCTAAAAGGTTTCATGTCAATACTACAGACAAACATTTCAGTACTAATGATGAGAGAGAGGAGCAACAACACCTTGAAATAAACAGAAGGCGGCCATCTACAGAACGTAGATACTAATATTTAAACCATAGAAATTAAATACTTCTCTTCATGCCTGTGTAAACAAAACAGCATTTAGGACGCCAGAATAACATTCACATATAGATCCATGTAGCTCCAAACACAGGCTGCTCTCACTGATATTATGTAATGCACATTATACACAATTGAAATATTTAAAACATATTACAATCCCCAATAACTTTAAGTAATAAAAATGAAAATGTCCTTAAAA